AAATCGAGGCTTTCGATTTGCTGCAGATCAACAAACAGCATTAGTTTCGGGGGGCCCCCTGGGGGCCCCCTGGGGGCCCCCCGGGGGCCCCCCGGGGGGCCCCCAGGGGCCCCCCTGGGGGCCCCCCTGGGGGCCCCCCGGGGGCCCTCTTGGGGCCTCCAGGGTACGGGGGACCCCTGGGGGGCCCCCCTGGGGGCCTCACAGGGTACGGGGGCCCCTCTGGGGGCCCCACAGGGTAAGGGGGCCCCCTGGGGGCCCCACAGGGTAAGGGGGCCCCCTGGGGTCCCCTATGGGGCTCTCTGGGGGCCCCATAGGGTACGGGGGGCCCACAGAGTACTGGGGGCCCCTTTTGGGGTCCTCAGAGGGTACTGGGGCCCCACAGGGTACTAGGGGCCCCTCCCGGGGGCCCCACAGGGTACTGGGGCCCCACAGTTGAGGGACTTCTGGGGGCCCCCAAGGGCCCCTGGGGGCCCCCTGTAACTAAAAGGGGGCCCCAAAGGGGACAAAAAGGGTACAGTTGCTTCTGAGGGGCCCCTGAGGGCCTCTTAGGGGCCCCTAGGGGCCCCCAAAACCTTTTAAGTGCCCTTTTGAGACATTTGAAGGGGCCCCCTTTAGTCATTTCTGTCTTCAGAATGGGACCCCCAATAAGGCCCCTAATAGGGTCTCTAGGGGCCCCCAGGGGCCCCCACTGGGGCCCCCGGGGGCCCCCAGGGGCCCCCACTGGGGCCCCCAGGGGCCCCCAGGGGCCCCCAGGGGCCCCCACTGGGGCCCCTTGGGGTTTCTGGGGGCTCTGGGGGCCCCTGAGGCCTAAACCCTAGTCCGCAAACCCTAAACCCTAAACCCTAAGGCAAATATTTCAAGTGGAAAGGCCTAAAGAATGCAGAGAGGGCCCAAAAGGGCAAAATTACCTAAACCCTAAACCCTCGGTGTCGCCTGCAGGCACTAAACCCTAAACCCTAAAAGAGCGGATTTGCCTCTTCTTGTCTTTTTTCCGATATAAAGAAATTCGAAAATGGGGAAGAAGATGCTAAACCCTAAACCCGAGTGAGCTCTCGAGGGTTTAGGGTTTAGGGAAGAAAACCCTAAACCCTAAACCCTCGAGAGAGATCGCCGCGCGCCGGGGTCGGTCCAGTGGTCAAAACCCTAAACCCTAAACCCTAAACCCTAAGGCCTCAAAAGTAAAAATAAAAATTAAAAATTAAAAAACAAATTGAAATGTATTTTAATTAAACTTTTCGGAAGGAAACAAAAAGACGAAAAGGAGCTTCGGAGGCCGCAGCCCGGCGTGCAGTTGGAGTGTATATACACCTGACTTTTGGTTTTTCGACTTCTTTTTCTCGCCAAATTTATTCATTTTTAATTAATCTTCAAATTTAATTCAAAATATTATTTTATTTCAATGTTTTGTGGCCCTTCAGCCCGGATTTTAGGGCTTAGGGTTTAGGATTTAGGGTTTAGGGTTTTGCCGGCGCTGCTCCAAACCCTAAACCCTAAACCCCAGCGTTTCCTCCAATTCCCCAAACCCTCAAAGGACCCTCGAGGGGCCCCAAGCCCAGCAGCCCCAAGGGGCCCCCGTGCCAGGTCGGCCTGGGTTTTAGGGTTTAGGGTTTAGGGTTTAGGGTTTAGGGTTTAGGGTTTAGGCTTTAGGGTATAGGGTTTGGGGTTTACGGTTTAGACCACTGGACAGGCGCCGGCGCATGGCTTTGCTAAACTCCCGAGGGTTTAGGGTTTGGGGTTTAGGGTTTAGGGTTTAGGGTTTAGGGCCTTCTCCAACTTTCGAAGGAAGTCATTGAAATCTTTTCTTTTTTTTTACAGAAAATCCCCTGAAGGCCCCCTGAGGCCCCAGGGGGCCCCCAGTACCTAATTAGGGGTTTTCTGGCCTCAATTCTTTTCAATGGGGCCCCCAAAGGGCCCCCTTGGGGGCCCCCTTGGGGGCCCCCCTGAGGCCCCCGAAGGGGGCCCCGAGGGGCCCCCTGGGGGCCCCCTAGGGTACTGTGGGACCTGGAGTTTGTTGAGGGAAATGGAAGAAAGAGATAAGAAACTCTTTGGAGTTGTGACGCATGCAAGGGCCCCCAACAAACCCTATTTGTACCCTCCGGGGCTTTTTTTAAAAAGACAAAAACCCCCTTCTGCCTTTAGACCCAGGGCCCCCGACCCCTGGGACCACTTGGGGGCCCCCCAGGGGGGGGCCCCCTCCTTCCAGCAGCCGGAGGGGCCCCCCAAGGCCCCGGGGGCCCCCAAAGCGGTAGGGTACTGCAGCACTCTGATGGGGGCCCCACAGGGGGCCCCATCAGGGGCCCCTCCTGAGGGCCCCTCTGGGGGCCCTTCAAAGGCACTTGTTTTAGGGGCCCTTTAGGGGCCCTTTAGGGGTCCTTTAGGGGTCCTTTAGGGGCCCTTTAGGGGCCCTTTAGGGGCCCTTTAGGGGTTGATTAGGGGCCCTTTGGGGGCCCCCTGGGGGCCCCTTAGGGGGCCCCTGGGGGCCCCCAAAGGTTGGAACTCGCGGGGACTTTCGGAGGGTTTGGGTGTTGTTTGCTGCAGCAGCCGAGGCGGCAGGGGGGGCCCCCAGGGGCCCCCTGGGGAGAAGGGTACTTGAGGAAAAAAACGAAAATAAAAAGACCTCCAACTAAACCCTTAAGTCATTACACTTTGCCAGGAGATGCAGCCTTTGGGCCCCACACCCTCTGCAGGGCTTTGCAGCCTTTCGAGGCCCTCCCTTTTGACGAGTACGTGGGGGGCCCCGGGGGCCCCTGGGGCCCCGGGGGCCCCCTGGGGGCCCCTGCGGGCCCCCTGGGGGCCCCCGGGGGGCCCCCCGGAGAGCCCCGACGCCGCTCAGGGGGGCCCCCCGGGGGCCCCCGGGGGGCCCCTGGGGGCCCCCGGTTCCCCTCCTGGGGGGGCCCCCACTGCCGCGGGGGGGCCCCACTTACTCGTGAAGAACAAGAAGGACTTTGGGACTTTGGAGTTGACTTTAGAGAAACTGAAGAACTCTTTGGGAAGCAGTTTTGGATGCCTCATGAGAGAGAAAGGTGGCAGAGGCAAGCCAATTGTTTATTGATTAATAATTAATTAATTAATTGTTAATTAATTAATTGTTTATTTATTAATTAACCAATCAATTAATTAATTAATAATTAATTACTTAATTATTAATTAATTAATTAATTATTAATTAATTAATCGATTAATTAATCAATAAATTAATTACTTAATTAATCAATTAATTAGTTGCTAATTAATTAATTAATTGATTAATGGCTAGTTTTAATTGCTTTGTTTATTTCCACTGCCTGTGCGGGTGGTTAGAAGCCGATAAACGCCAAATAAAATCAAATAATGAACAAAAATAAATAAAAATAAATAAAAATAAGTAAAATAAATAAAAATAAATAAAAATAAATAAAAATAAATAAAAGTAAGAACAAACAAATGAATAAATAACAAATGAGAAACGCAAAAATGTAGTGGTGCTTGGGGTGTATCCGCAGGTCCAAACGGCTGCGCCATTTGCTGCAAAAGGGCCTCGTGAGGAGCTTTTTGGAGCGATTTGAGTTAAATAAATAAAAATAAACAAAAATAAATAAATTAAAATGAATAAATTAAATTAAATTAATTAAATTGAGCCCAAATGAGCCATGCAAATGGCATTTAATGGGCTAGCTGCGTGTACACCGCAGATGCTAGCTGCGCAAAGCTGCGGTGTATGTACAGCTTTGCCACCTTGACCAAACAAAAAGCAAATTGATTTTCTTTTTACTTTTAAATTATAATTCTTTTTTAAATAAATAAATAAATAAATAAATAAATAAATAAATAAATAAATAAAAGTGGGCCTGGCGAGCATTTAAAAGCACAGAAATGAAAAAAGAATAAAAAGATTAACACAATTATTCACACCGGCCGTTTTCATTTTTAATTATTTTATTATTTTTCATTTTTCATTTTTAATTAAAAGAAAAATATGGTAAAACACTTTTGAAGATTTACTGCCCCCCATTAAGTTTAAATCATTTCCTTTTTTGTAATTTGTTTCTCGATTTATTTATTTATTTATTTATCTCTTTATTTATTTATTTATATATTTATCTATTTATTTATTTATTTATTTATTATTTATTTAGTATTTATTTATTTATTTATTTGTTTATTTGTTTGCTAAGGCCGTCTTCGCTGCGGACCTCGAAGCTGAGGAATTCGCAGCAGATTCTAAAAAGTATTTAAAAGGGTCCAGGGGGCCCCCCGGGGGGCCCCCCCAGCAGCACGCAAGCTGCAAGCCAGCAGCAGCAGCAGCAGCAGCAGCAGCAGCAGCAGCAGCAGGAGCGTGGGAAGACGGCAGCGCTGGTTTTGAGGGCCCCCCGGGGGAAGCCCCTGGGGGGCCCCTTAGAAGACACGGAAAGTACCCTCGGGGGGCCCCCCGGGGGGCCCCCCATGGGGCCCCCAAGGGGGCCCCCCGGGGGGGCCCCCCTGTACCCTGGTCTTATTACTTTGAAATTGGTAATGCATTTGAAGGAGCTGCTGAAGAGTCAAATGAGGAAAAAGAATTTGAAGAAACACAAAAGAAGACTCAAGAGCCCGAGGACCCTCGGCTGCAGAGTGCGCTGCTGCCCTGCTGCTCACAGCTAGCTAGCTAGCTAGCTGGCTAGCTGGCTAGCTAGCTGGCTAGCTAGCTGGCTTGCTAGCTAGCTGGCTAGCTAGCTAGGTCGCTCGCTGGATACCTATTTGGCTAGCTCGATACGTGGCTGGCTGGATAGGTATTTGGTCAGCTAGCCAGATAGAGTAGCTATTTGGCTAGCTAGCTAGCTAGCTAGCTAGCTAGCTAGCTAGCTGTATAGCTGCTGCTGCTGCTGCTGCAGTGCTGCTGCAGGCATTCTGGAGACCGAAACGGTCAGGCTCTATGAGGCTGCCACAGGCAAACTCCCTTCTATCTTCGGGGGCCTCCGCAAGTTCAGGCAGGGCCACTTGCTGCTGCTGCTGCTGCTGCTGCTGCTGCTGCTGCTGTTGCTGTTGCTGCTGCTGCTGCTGCTGCTGCTGTTGGTGCTGCTGCTGTAGTTGCTGTCGCCGCGATGGGACTGCTGCAACGGTTCGGCCTGTGGGCATGTGAAGGAGCTAAGCAAGGTCGCGCTGCTGCTGTTGCTGCTGCTGCTGCTTTTCCTGCTGCTGTTGCTGCTGCTGCTGCTGCTGCTGCTGCTTAGGAAGGAGAAGCACCCCAAGGACATAACTGTCCCCTTTAATCGTTTGAAGGCTTATGGCCAGAAGATCGACTTCATCACTTCTTGCAGAAAGCTGCAAGATGTGCGTAGCAGCAGCAGCAGCAGCAGCAGCGGCTGTTGCTGCCACTGGTGCTGCTGCTGCTGCTGTTGCTGCTGCCGTTGCTGCTGCTGCTGTTGCTGTTGCTGTTGCTGTTGCTGTTACTGCTTTGGCCCTTCCCGTTGCCTCTGCCGTCGCACCTGCTGCTGAATTTCACCTTTCGCCGCCCCTGCTGCTGCTGCTGCTGCTGCTGCTGCTGCTGCTGCTGCTGCTGCTGCTGCTGCTGCTGCTGTGGCTGTGAGCGCAGGAGGTGATGCAGGAGCTGCTGGGGCCGTGCGGCAGCAGCAGCAGCAGCAGCAAGCCGCTGCAGCACATGCCTCCGCCCAAGGGCGTGCGCAGCAACCCGAACTATTTGCTGACTCCCGAAAAGATTCAAAGAGCAGCAGCAAAGTTGCATGTGGACCTCGCAGCAGCAGCAGCAGCAGCAGCAGCAAATCCTTTCGCTCCAATCGAAAGACGCAGAATGGCCCTTCAAGTCGAACCCACCCGCATCCTCGGCGGCGGCAGATACGCCGTTTGACATGGCTAGCTGGCTAGCTGTATGGCTAGCTGGCTAGCTGTATGGCTAGCTGGCTAGCTAGCTAGCTAGCTAGTTAGCTAGCTAGCTAGCTAGCTGGTTAGCTGGGTGGACAGCTGGCTAGCTGGCTGCATTGCTGGCTGGCCAGCTAGCTGGCTGGGTAGCTAGTTGCATAGCTTGCAGGCTAGTTAGCTAGCTGGGCAGCCACCTGGCTAGCTAGCTGGCTAGCTAGCTGGGTATCTAGCTGGCCAGCTAGATCAAAAGCTAGGTGGATATCTAGCTGGCTAGCTAGCTGGCTAGCCAGCTGGCTAGCTAGCTAGCCAGCTAGCCTGCTGGCTAGCTGGCTATATGCGGGCTAGCTAACTATTGATTCGGCCTGTTTGGACTGGCTGGTGAACAGCTGGTGATGGCTAGCTAGCGAGCCAGCTAGCTAGCTAGGCAGCTAGCTAGCCAACTAGCTACCCAGTCAGACAGCTAGCTAGCCAGAGGGCCAGCTAGATAGCGAGACAGCCGGCTAGCTAGCCAGGCAGCCGGCTAGCTAGCCAGGCAGCTAGCTAGACAGCGAGCTAGCCAGACAGCCAGCTACACAGCTAGCCTGCTAGCCAGCTAGCTAGCTTCACAGCTAGCTAGCTACTAGCTAGCCAGTCAGACACAGAGCTGCCTTGGCCTTAGCTAGCCGCTGCAGCGGGAACAGCTAGCCAGGCCTAGGTAGCCCCGCTACAGCTAGCAGACCCTAAACCCTAAACCCTAAACCCTAAACCCTAAACCCTTATGAGGCAATGCCTCTTGCTGCGGTTCAAACTGGCCCTACGGTGCGGCCTCATCTAATACCGGTGCTGCCGCTGCTGCTGCTGCTGCTGCTGCTGCTGCTCCAGCATTTTGGGGCTTTGCTGCTGCTCCTGCAGCAGCAAAGGACTAGACATGGCTAGCTGTGGCTAGCTGTGGCAAAGTGCTGCTCAGTGGCAGTAGCTGCTGCTGCTGCAGCGCTTAAATTTTTGTTTGCTGCTCCTTGCTTCTGATTTGGTGGGGCAGTTTGCTGCTGCCTTCTGCAGCAGCAGCAGCAGCAGCAGCCTTTAGAGCTGCTGCTGCTGCAGCCTGCTGCAGCCGTTGCTGCTGCTTCGCTGGGCTGCCGCAGCTGCTAGCTAGAAAACACACCAGCTAGCTAGCTAGCTGGCAAGCTATCTAGCTAGCTGGTGAGCTAGCTAGCTAGTTGGTGAGCTAGCTAGCCAGCTAGCTATCTAGCTAGCTAGCCGCAGCATTTGTGGGGCCCCAGAGGGGGGCCCCTGCTGTTGGGGTTTAGTATTATTGCTGAGTTGCTGCAGCTTCCTCACAAACTGCTTCTCCTGCAGCAGCAACACACTTGCAAACAAACATTGCGAGCTTTCTGACCTGCTGCTGCTGCTGCTGCTGCTGCTGCTGCTGCTGCTGCTGCTGCTGCTGCTGCGCTTACTCTTGAGCCGAAGGAGCCTCCCCTCCCCCACAGGAGTGAAGTGCAGCCCGTCGATTGAAACTTCTAAGCTGCAGAGGCAAGACCCTTCGCTGCTGCCCTTCAGCACGGGCAGCTCGCACTGCAGCAGCAGCAGCAGCAGCAGCAGCAGCAGCAGCAGCAGCAGCAGCAGCAGAAGCAAAAGAGGCAGCAGCGCATTAGGAGCTTCGCTTAAAGCAGGCCTGGCAGGTGCAACTCACGAGGGTGTGAAGCCAGCTAGCGTACTAAGGACTAGCTAGCCACAGCTAGCTAGCCACAGCCAGCTAGCCACAGCTAGCTAGCCACGGCTGGCTAGCCACGGCTAGCCCCTAGCTATAGCTAGCTATAGTGGGCTAGCTACTAGCTAGCTAGCGAGCTGCAGTTAGCTCGTCGCAGCTAGCTAGCAATAACAAGCTAGCAGCAGCTAGCTAGCAATGGCTAGCTAGCTGCAGCTAGTTCGCAGCCTTCAGCTAGCTAGCCAGGGGCACCAGCAGCTAGCTCAGCTAGCTAGCTGCTGTTTGCTGTCTCACCACAATGACCTTCTGGAGGTTCTCCTCAGGGGCTTCGGCCTTTTGCTCCTGCTGCTGCTGCTGCTGCTGCTGCTGCTGCGCCTGCTGCTGCTGGTGTCCCTTGGCAGCTTTTTGCTGCTGCTTCTGCTGCTTGTCCCCTGCTGCGCCCTTGCTGCTGCTGCTGCCAGCAGCGGCAGCAGCTTTGGGAGTGCCCCCCAAAGGCACTGCAGCAGGAGACTTTCTTGCTGCAGCTTTTGCTGCTTTGTCTCTTGAGGCCCCGCGCCTGCTGCCGGGCCTCCCGCTGCTGCTGCTGCTGCTGCTGCTGCTGCTCTCAAAGAGCGCAACAAGCCGCTGCTGCGCGGAGCTGTTGAACGCAGCAGCAACAACTAGCTGCAGCGGCGCTGCTTCTTCTGCTTCTGCAGCAGCAGCAGCAGCAGGAGCTTCTGGCAGCACCGTCAGTCGGAAGCAAGGGGAGTGTATAGACACCGCACACTCCAGCAGCACAGCAGCAAATGTGTTGCTGCCGAGCAGAGAGTCTTCATCTACGAGCTGCAGCTCACCAGCAGCAGCAGCAGTAGCAGCAGCTGCAGCAGCAGCTGCTGCTGCTGCTGCTGCTGCGGCAGCCGCTGGTTCCGCTGCTGCTGCTGCTGCTGCTGCTTGCTGCGCTGCTTCTGTTGTTTCAAAGGCTGCTAGCGGGGCCAGCACAGACTCTGCTGCTGCCTCTGCAGGTTCTGCTGCAGCTTCTGGCTTGCTGCTGACGCTGGGAGCAGCAGCAGCAGCAGCAGCAGCAGCAGCACCAGCAGGAAGAGTGAACAGCAGCAACTGGTCTACTTGCAGCTGCTTGTACACCTCAAAGGGCTTCGGCGTGCTGCTGAATTCTATGCCATTAAAAGACAAGTAGAGCTGCAGCGCATACACACTGCTGTTGCTTCTGCTGCTGCTGCTGCTGCTGCTGCTGCTGCTGCTGCTTTTAGCCACCATGCGGCTATGCGACATACACACTGCTGTTGCTTCTGCTGCTGCTGCTGCTGCTGCTGCTGCTGCTGCTGCTTTTAGCCACCATGCGGCTATCGCTCTGCTGTTGTTGCTGCTGCTGCTGCGGTTCCTGATGCTGCTTCTGCTGCTGGTCCTCTGTTGCTGCATCTTCAACCTGCAGAAGAAGCCCCAGCACCCAGTTCCATTCTATTCAGGGCAGCAGCAGCAGCAGCAGCAGCAGCAGCAGCAGCAGCAGCAGCAGCAGCAGCAGCAGCAGCAGCACGTACCTCTAGCACTACTGGGGAAAGCGCTAACTCAATGTGACCTCCGCGAAAGCTTGCTGGGATCGTCTCCCGGGAGCCATCTGGATGCACCACGAGGCAGCAGCAGCCTTTGCTGCTGCTGCTGCTGCTGCTGCTGCTGCTGCTGCTGCTGCAGAGAAGGTGGTCTTCTAGCTGCTGCAGCAGCTGCGGCGGAAGCCCCTGCAGCTGCGGAGTGGTCAGCTGCAGCAGCAGCGGCAGCCCCGCGGGGCCAATGGGGGGAGACACGGAGAATTCCTCGGGGGACAGGAGACAAACTGCAGCAGCAGCAGCAGCAAAATGCTGGCCTGCGCGTCCGCAGCAGCAGCAGCAGCAGCAGCAGCAGCACACGCAGTGGCTCACGGGCCCATTCTCAGCTAGCTGCCAAACAAATGCACACAGAGAGGCGGTTCTAGCTAGCTAGCTATGTGACGAGCTAGTTAGCTGGCTAGCTAGCTAGCTGGCCAGCTAGCTAGCTGGCCAGCTAGCTAGCTGGCTAGCTAGCTAGCTGGCTAGCTTGTTAGCTGGCTAGCTAGCTATGTGGCTAGCTAGCTAGCTGGCTAGCTTGGCTAGCTTGCTAGCCAGCTAGCTAGCTAGCCAGCTAGCTAGCTAGCCAGATGGACAGCTAACGAGAGCCAGCTAACTACGGCTAGCTAGCCACGGCCAGGCGGGGAGAAACAGTTTGGAGTTTAGCGTTCAGGGTTTAGGGTTTAGGGTTTAGGGTTTAGGGTTTCTTGCCGTTGAGAGAGGCGGAAACCTCGAGGAAGCAGCGGGACAAAAGGGTTTGGGGAAAGGAGGGGGTTTTGCACTTGAGGGTTTTGCGGTTTGCTGCCAGCACTGCGGGCACGAGGGCCAAGCAGCCCCCCGCCTGCTGCTGCTGCTGCTGCTGCTGCTGCTGCTGCTGCTGCTGCTGCTGCTGCTGCTGCGGCAGGCT